AAGCTACAAGAATATTCAACGAAAAATGGGGCTTCCCATTTTAAAAAATGACCTTGACCTTCAAATGACCTTGAAAATGAAGGTCAAGGTCATTGTCAATGTCATAGTTCAATCAGCCCCTTCATATCCAACAATTTTTGTTTTAAACATTTTTTATTTAATCGCGATGTTTCGAGTTATTTGGCTGTCTAAGTTAAAATGGGTCAGCCTGTATATATGGGGCGTTCTCTGTTAAATCGGCCATCCCCCTACCCATTTCAATTTTTGAGATAAAATTCTTTTTTTGCTCTTAAAATTTTCCTTGAAATGTCTATTTTTCGATGCAGTATGGCGATTTTGAAAATTTAAAATGGCGAACCCAAAATGGCGACTGGAATGAAAAAAGACATTGGAATAATTAATGATATCGTGAATAAACGTGCACGATGTGATGTAGAGTTCTGATCCGCGTGTGTGCGTGCGTGCGCGTGCGCTTGTCAAAACGAATTACGTTGAAGTCAATTCTTCTTTAACACGATATCCACTGGTTAACAAGACATTTGCGTACAAAATTTCAAATTATAATTTTCTCTTGTCTTTAAAGCTTGTTGCTAAGCCACAGGACACAATATTAACAACTCAAATTCTTTTTAATTGGGCTAGAATACATTTCAAGAACATAAGGATTTTTTATTTTAAGAAAATTGATCATGAGAAGTTAAGAAGAAAACTTAATAAGAGATTTGAAGCTGAGCAGTCTGTTCCACAAATTCTTGAAAATGATGGATTTATAATTGCTGAAGAAAATAAAGTATTAATCAAAAAATATTCTAATGATATAAATGGAACACTACGGTAGTTACGGTGAAGAAAGTAAAGGATAAAAAATTAAAAAATAAATTCTATGGTACATCTATCCACACAGGAACACGCGTCCGCGCTCGCCTTCACTCACACACACAAACGAGCGCGCGCACACACGTGAGAGGCAAGGGAACTCACGTAAATGAAACACGCACGCACGCACGCGGATCAGACATCTACATCATATATCGTGCACGATATCATTAATTTATTCACGATATCATTAATTTTTCCAATGACTTTTTTCATTCAAGTCGCCGTTTTGGGTTCGCCATTTTAAATTTTCAAAAACGCCATCGAAAAATAGACATTTCAAGGAAAACTTTAAGACCAAAAAAAGAATTTTATCTCAAAAATTGAAATGGGCGGGGAAGGTG